GCACATACTACACCGAAGTCCTTGAGCCAACAGCCCGCATGTACCCGAACGAGGAAGTTCGCCTCCTCACAAAACAACCTCCTATCACCCACCTCATCCGCAAAAGCACAGCTCAAACTGTTCGGGCACATTCTTAGATCCCATCCGATGGAACCGTTTTTATAACTGCAGTTTTCAGTAGAGAAGGGGTGCACAGAGGAGTGGGCCCCGGAGTCACTGGGGCAGACAGTGTACCAGACCTACATGGCACTGGCTTTCAAAGTCCGCGTCTTCGCCTCCCTCTCACAGCCCTTCCTTCCCCTACAGACTCACACACTAGCTCCGACTAGTGAGGCGCCAACGTGCAAGACCCTCCTCACGGCTTGCTCGTTTCAGGGGACATGATGTACACGTTTGGAGTCGCTGCGAGTGAGTTGCATAGGGCCGCCCCAAAAATTGCCTTCACCCATTAACCCCTATTCGATTTTGGGGCTCCCGGGATCACCGGCAAACCCGTTTGAGGTTTCAGGTCTATCTATGATCTTTTTTGAGGGTTCTGTTTTGTGCACCCATCAACTACTATTGAAAGTTTGGGGTTCTCGGGGTCCAGCAGCCCCGTTTGGTTTAAGTTCTACCAACCAGCTCTTTTGAGGTTTTTTTGGCTTGTCACCCACTAGTCTCCGTTAGAGTTTGCCATTCGTTTAAGGTTTGAGGCCTACCCATCATTTCTTCACCTATCAACCACTGTTCGATGTTGGGGTTCACGGGATCCAGCAGAATCGTTTCGGGTGGTCTACCCATCATCTCTTTTGCCAATAACTGCCATTGAACTTAGACGTTCCCCGGATCCAGTACCACCGTTTAGGGTTTAAGTTCTGCCAACCAGCTCTTTTGAGGTTTTACGGCTTGTCACTCCTCTTAGATTTTGCCATTCCCGGCATCCAGACATACCGCGTAGGGCTTAAGATTTTCTACCCATTGCATGTAATAGGCACGTATTCTGCTTTGGGCTTATCCCCACCAGCCGAGATTCTCGGCTCAGTGTTTACGGTCCATGGTCTTTTTTGAAAGGGGTTTCGGGTGTTGGTGCCGAGTAACCTTGCGTCGGGTTGGTTTGCGCAGTTTGGCAATCATCAGCTCTGTCTGACGTTTTGGAATCAGGGTCTGGGCTTTTTCGGAACCAACCGTCTCTTTTGAACTTCTGTTTGCTAAACCGGTCACTCCTCTTACTGTTGCCGGCCTGCCACTTATGATATGTTTTGAGTTTAAGTGGCTTTGGGTACCTGTCTTCTGAACCCTTCACTTCTTTTGTGATTTTTTTAAGGTCTTTGGCCAAGGCCAGTTTTTTCGGAACCAATCATCCCGAGTGCCCAGGGTTTAACATGTGCAGCCAATGTACTCTTAGCAATGACGTATTGATTCAGGTCGTGGGTGTCGGAAGCCCAGTCACCCGGTCCACTATCTTTTGTTATGGTGTTTAAGAACTACTGACCACTTCTACGGTTTAGGGTTCTCCGCACCACTCACTCACCTCAGGGTTGTGGGGCTTGCTACCCATCATGCCCTCTCGAGTTCTGGGACTTTGGAGAGTGCGCGCATTTTGAGACGACCCGTTTGTCTTCTGCGGCTAGATTTGTCACCCAACTCTGAGGGTTCGAGTTTTCTTGAGATGCCTTTTCCGCGTTTCGGACGGTAATTTTCATCCCTCACAGATGCGAAAGTTTTTAGTCTTCTGGGTACTGCATGTAAAATATAGCCAAGCCCTCCCAAAGGCGAGAAAGACAGCAGCACAAGAATCTGCAAAAACATATAACCAGAACGATGCAATATCAGCAACACGACAAATAGGGCGAAGCTGCAAAGCCGACTGAACGAAAAGACATTTTACCAGGGAGCTGATGCCAGAGAGGGCCATGCGAGCCAAGAATCCACGAACCCAGCAAAACCGAATGTTTAGAGGAAAGTGCAACAACCCACGAAGTCACAAAGCCCAGAAAGCAGAACGTCATGAAGCGAGAAGTCACGGGGCAGAAAGGCACGAATACACATCAGTTTGCCGGGCCCGGCTGGAACCATCGGCCCTTCGACTCAGAGCCATGTTCTCATGCATCAAAACATTCCTATTGTTGGACAGGTGCCAGAACAGGCCTCGGACAAGGAAGCTCTCGAGCTGAGAGAAGATTGGCTTCAGGAGGCTCCCGTGTTTTGGAAACGTGTAGAGGTCCCCACAACTGACCTCGCAACCTGAAGTCCGACCGGTTGCAGGTGCCCACTGAGCTGCTTCTCTACATACTGAAAGCAAGAGCCGGGCCAGACATGATCTCATGAGCACGAGGCTGGAGAGGAAGGTTCTGGGTCCTGGTTTTTCCGTAGACTGATATGGTCCCCGCCAGAGACCGCAACAACTTCAGAACTGGTGCGCATGATCTCATCAAAACCGTCGTTGTGTCGTGCACCATGCACAAAGGATGATGACTGTAGGCTTCCGGTAGGCATGCTGACCCCTTTTCGGATCGCAGTTTACCTTGCAAAGCCTCGGTGCACATGTTGGCCCATTTTTTCTGAGACGAAGATGCCGACAAAAGGGATGTGATTCCCCTTGTCTTCGATGGGACCCACGCAATGGCTACGGAGAGGTGCTCTCTCTCTCGCCGGTCCGTGCGAATGCGTGCCTGATTTACGAACCCAGTTCCTTGCGAGGCTGGGTCTGAGCAAGCAGAATCCAGCTCAGTCGTCAGACTGTTCGCGTCAGGTGCTAGCATTTGCCATCTCCTCTCGTGCGGAGGTTGATCTCACACAGGTCTCACCGTGTCTGCAGAAATGGCTTGGTGAAGACGGCAAGTCGAGGTCTGCAAGATGGCATCATAGATAAGTATCCGAGAGTCTTCACACAGTCCGAGTCGTTTGAGAGGGGTGCAGCTTTACCGGCTCCCACAAGTTTCGGACGCACCTCCAGTATCTCAGTAGGACACCAGGGCTTCCGTCGCAGGGCACAGGATCCGTGTTACCATGCTGTCTGATTTCGTACCGCTTGCTGATGTTGCCCTGAACACTTATTTAGCGCAAGTGGATGCCTCCACTTATTCCTGCGGTTCCTCTCAGGAGAAGCCGTGCCTTCTGCACGAAGTGCAGGAAGGAGCAAGCCGAGGGCGTGCATGCAAACGAAAAGCACCACGGAGCGGGTTGCTTGACGGGGAAAGACACCGAGAAGCCAGTTGAAGACGCGGAGTCGGGGCCAAAAAGTTGGGGCTCAAGCTGAGAAGCTGAGCTCACACGGAGAGGTAGGCGGGCCTCGGTTCTGAAGTGAAAGGAAGGCCACGGATTCGGACTGTACATTCCGGGCACGAGATCCCCGGACGCTGTCTGGCCTTCAGGATGCGGCTGACACTCGAGCTGCTGCAGCAGGCGCCGCAGTCGCTGAACCCTGCACTGCACCGGCAGCTGCTGCTTAGAGGCTTCAAGTGGCTTGGAAGCACGTGGTGTTTCATCTGCAGCTTGCACGCAGATTATTTCATTTCATGTTTCATCAGGATCCCCACAATCGCGACTTGGCTGAGTGGGTAGAATGTGGCAGCCTGCAGCAGTATCTCTTAGTGGCCTAGGAAAATCTGGGTGGCACGGATGATGCTTATGAGTTGCTGCCTTACGACAACAGAACGGCAGCCCAGATTTGCAAGACTATCCGTATCTTCGCAGGTGTCTGGACTTTTCAGACAACGATCTCATCAAACTGGGGAACTTCCCACCATTAAAGAGGTCGGGATCTTGGTTTCCATCGTCACCTGTCAGTGTCGAGCACGAGCTTGCGTGTCTTGCGCTGAGATTACGCGTTCTGATGCTGATGAACAACAGGCATTGCGCCGGGTGCGTTTGATACCAGGCTGTGATGAATTTATGTCTGCACGTGGCGCAAGCAGGATTAGCCGAATTGCGCCGGACTGTGGCCGGCCAGCAGATAATCGATGCTTGCAGAGGGTAGATGTGATGGCACCGACTGTGGCTGGACAGCGCCATGTCCGAGGCTTCGATCCGATACCCAACATTGTCAGCCTGGTGCTGACAGGCTGGATCTTCGGGCCTCTGCTCTTTTCCTCTGCGGAGTGCGGTTTGCGCTCGCCGTCCACGACTCTGGTTGATTGTGGGGCCTACTGGGTCCGTAGAGAGAGACGGGGCAGCGTCGGTCGTCCTGTCATTCTGCATGACCCTGGCTGCTCACTCTCGCCATCACTCTCTCCTCTGCATGCTGCCCCTCGTCAATGCCCAAAGAAGTCCGCTGATGCGCTACTTTTTAAGAGACTCGACATGGGTGGGCTTCTTTGCGAAAAGAATCCGAAAACCAGCATCGGCCGCTTGCGGGGCTGAAGGATCCGGCATGAACGAAGTGCTCACATGCTTTCCTGTTCAGGCAACAAGTTGGAGAAGTAACTTGGCTTCCGTTTCGAACCCAGATTGCAGGCCTCCACCATCCTGCTTCGCAAGGCTTGTAGACCTGGAGCCCATCACGCAGCTCAAAAACCTGGAGCGTCTTAGCCTCATGGACAACCCAGTCACCAAGGCCACATGCCTTTTTGAGTTCAGTTACGGAGTGCCAGCGTGGCCATGGCATTGCAGGTGAAGCATTTCCGGCCGTACATGATCCACAAGAGCTCGAAAACGCTGAGGCTCTTGCTTTGGCCCAGGTGCCCAGTAGTAACCTACTCAGAGCTTCCTGGGAGGATTTTAGACTTCAACCGCATCAAGGACAAGGAGAGGAAGGCGCTCTTCGGGTGTGAAAGCTTCATGTATTCTCCTGTCGAAGTGGAAGCGCCGAGTGCAACAGCGCAGGCAGCAACGCTGCTGTTCGCGGGCGAGCGTGGCAAGAAGCTGTTGGAGGTGCGGCACCATCTCTTTCTGAAGCATTACGGGGTAGAGTCACAGCCTGAGAGCATCAGTATCGCCAAAGCCCATCAGGAGATTGCTCCGCCCCGTGTGGTGGGCAAGGAGCCCACAGAGAAGGCCAGAGGACATGTGAAGACGCCAGAGTCAGGGCCTTTTTTAGCTGCGCCAGATCTCAGAGCCAGGTCTCTGACGTCTCCAAATCCGGTCCATCCCCCGAAGTCATCGCCAATCGGCTGAATTGAACAGGTTGTCAGTAGATAAGCCTTCAGGGATAATGGTCTCGGTAGCTGCTGGCAAAGGGTGGTTGAGGGGATTATATTCTTTTTGGTCGCTGATGCCCGTCTGTTCTGCGTGGCTTTGTTTTGATCTGAGGAGCGCATCAAGAAGGCCATCGCTGAAGCCGAAACCATCGAGGAGGTCACGCGCCTCGAGAAGGCACCAAGGGCAGGTCAGGTGCAGAGTCCGTTGCGAAGCCTTGTGCCTTCCAGGCCTTGAAGAGCGGTGTCCTGCCCGACGACCTCAAGGAGCCAGGCAGGGATCCGGCAAAAATCCGGAAAGAGGGGGAAAAGGCCAAGAAGCGGGCGTTTTTCAGCTGCGCTCTCGTGAGGCACCGAGGGCCCAGAGGCTGCACCGGGCCTGGAAGGAGGCGCGTTGTCGGAGTGCGTAGAGCCTGAGGAGCTTCCAAAAAGAGCCTTCTCTCTCTTTCTCTGCGCTGCGAAGCAGTCTGTCCGTTGCAGGTCCGGAGCCGATGGCGGAGGGATAATGAGATATCGCGGGGCCCTGAGTCTGAGTGGCATGGATCATGGGAGAAAGGTTGCGAAAGCCGCAGTCCTCTCGGAAATGGAGATCTCTGCAGAGTTTCTCTCTCAAGACCTTTCTTGGGGGAGTCTTATGTCCCACCGGCGAGGGAGCTGGAAGGCCTAGAAGCGCAGCAAACCGACGGCGTATCCGAGCGTCCCGATGTCTGCAGAGTCTTCGGAATCCTGGAACAAGGCCTCCGAGAGCTATGCGCCCTTTGAAGCGTATACGGGCCAATTCACCCGGGCAGCAGCCACGGCGCTCCCGGGCCTGCTGCCCGAAATTTCCGGGAAGCTCCAGATCATGGACGTGGCTGCCGGGACGGGTGCATCCACCTTTGCCTTGTGCAAGGCACTCAGCGACCATTGCAAGGAACGGGGGTCGACAGCGGAAGTTTTGGCGACTGACTTCAGCGAAGCCATGTTGAAGCAATTGGCAGAGAAGCTCAGATCGTCCAGTGCGGACCCGGAGGTGAAGGCCACGCAGGCGGCAGAAGAGGCAGGTTTGCTAAAGGTCACTTCCCAAGTCGCAGATGCACAGGACCTGTCTGCTTTTGCTGAGGGAGCTTTCGATGCGATCACGTGCTCGTTTGGGATAATGTTTCCGCCATCTCCGGACAAAGTCGTTCGAGAGTTCTGGCGATTGCTGAAGCCCGGTGGAGTCGCTATCGTTACGACTTGGCACTACAACAACATACCAGAATCGATCTTGTCTGACTTGGCACATGTCTTCAAATGCCACGGTCGCTATGAGGAAGTGCCACTGGCGGTAGCTTTGCAGAAGTTCTCAAGCGAGGGCTTCATGCGGCGCCTGTTTCGTGGAGAGTTAGGGGACGGACCCCTTTGGAAGAACCGTGACCTCGAAGCTAGATTCTTTTCCGGTTCTTCTACATGCTTGCCAAAGCATCTGGCTGCTGGCCTGAACAAGAATCCTCTCACCAGCGACTTGGGCCACTGGGACGAAGAGGCGGCTGAGAAGTATATGTCGGATAACTGGACAGAAGCAAACGGACAAATCACACTGCAAGGAACAGCGCTGGTCCTTATTGCAAGAAAGCCAAAAGCAGCGACCCCTTGAGGGCCAGATCTCGCATACACTCAGAGTGAGGGGTTGGCACCGAACTTGCGATACTGCAAGTCATTTTCGTCAGGCAAGCTTTGTTGCGGACGAGAGCCTGATCACGAAAGCTCGCGTAGCAGAGCT